ATAAAGCCTGCTATATACATTCTTGTGTAGGCTTTTGTGTGGACATAGGTTTTTAACTTAATTGGGTAAATGCCTAAAAGTAGGGAATTGCCGCATCATACGGTAAGACTATTTAGCTTTGTAAGAAGAAGCTGTGAGACTGTCAGTATATATGTTCTTAAGAATTAATCTAATTTAGTTTGGAAGGATATACTCTAAATTATTCACAGGAGTTGTCTCAGGCAGATGAACTTAGGAGACTGACATCTTCTACTTATATTACTTGAATTATTAAAAACAATATTTTGTAGTAATTTTTTACAAATTTTTCTCCAAATGTTTATTTAACTCTTAGTAATAAAAATTGAAAATGAGTCAACATAAATGAAAACTAATACACCATTTAAAACAATATATTATCAGTCTCATAGCACTTTGAGTTGTAGAGGATTTTAATGTTCTAATTTTTTTAAGTAGAAAGAGTACTTTCGTATTTTTTTATTTTATTTTATTTTTTTTTGTTAACCCTCACCGGAGGATATTTTTTTCTATTGATTTTTTTAGAGAGAGTAGATGAGGGGGAGGGAGAGAGGAGAGAGAGAGGTCCGTATAAGAGAGACACACCGATTGGTTGCCTCCCACACACCTGGGTTGGGAATCGAATGTGCAACCCAGGCATGTGCCCTTGACTGGGAATCAAACGCCAGACCTTCGGTATTCAGGCTGACACTCGAACCATTGAGCAACACTAGCCAGGGCTCATTTATATTTTTTTATATCTTTATTATTTATTTTTAATATGTTTTTACTGATTTCAGAGAGAGGAAAAGAGAGGGAGAGAGAGAGATAGAAACATCAGTGATAAGAGAGTCATTGACCAGTTGCCATCTGCATGCTTCCTACTGGAGATCAAGCCTACAACCTGGGCATGTGCCCTGACTGGTAATTGAACCTTGACCCCCTGGATCATAGGTCCATGCTCAACCACTGAGCCATGCCAGCTGGCCAAGGGCTCATATTTTTTAAAGTAAAGAGAGTACAATCATAATTTGCCACTCAACAAATTTATAGAGCATCTACCTCACAGACCTTCAAAAAATCATGCCCAGAGCCAAAAAGAGAACACACTTAATCTAGCCTTGGGATATTAGGCAAGACTCCCTGGAAGAGGTGATACCTAAATTTCATTCTGAAGGACAATCCAGACTAACTGAGCTAAGGGGGAGCAGGGACGAGTGCAGGGGAAGGTGAATATACCAGAATGAGGACAGTGTTTTCAGACTGGAGACCAGGTCATTTGCTTCTGATTAATCTGACTGAAACTGAAAATAATTGTTCCAGACTCTCAGAGAAGCATATTAGGTTTTTTCATTTTGTTGGCACTTGCTTGATAATTTGTAATTGAAAAGTATAGACTCGTATTTTCTTTTGGTTTCCATTGACTGGCAGTGTGTATTGCCCTAATGCCTGTTTTGCTTGGAAAACAGAAGTAATAAGCTGAAGATATTTTGTTGTTGGAAATGTGTCAGCAGCTATCAGTGTCATATGAGTTAAACATTGCATATCTTACCTGAATTTTAGAACCTTGAATGGTTCAACTGTCACTATTTGTGAATGTACATATGTGTTACTTTCTTACACTATCTATGTCTCATACTTAAACTTTCTTCCCAATATGTAATCTTCTACTCTATGTCAATAGATGTTTTTCTGTTTTTTAGGATTCCAATGAAGTTTTTAAAATTACCACTTTTAGGGGGATGGGGAAAGAGGGAAAACCAGAAGATGTACTGACATTTAGGGATAGAAGTGGATATGTTCAACCCTGAAATTATTTCTTTAATACTTTAAATATGTAAGAGTTCACATTCTGTTACATTGAAAATCATCATAGAAAATAACTTAGTTTAATGTAAAAGATGACTAGTGTATTACTTGTGAATTATTCAACAAAAGTCACCCCTGAGATCTGTTAAATATTCAGTTAACACTTTTCTTTAGTACCTGTTGCATTTACTTAAAAAAAAAACTATACTAAAACTAGCAATGAAGGAGTAGAGGAGATGGATTCAAGAGATGTTTAGGAGATGTAATAACAGAGTTTGCAGACTGATTGCATATGATAAGTTGAATAAGTCTTTGACTAGCTCATGTCCACATGAACCTATTGCATTTAAAAAAGGAAAAGAGAGTTCTAATATACTGGAAGGAGCAGTGGAACCTTGACATCAGAATACAGTTCTTGAATTCTAACTGTGACTCTTACCCCTGTGAACAGGATGGCCTTGGGCAAGTCACTTAACTTTTCTAAGCAAAGTCTTTATGCTTTTATAGAAATATAATTAAGTAATGAATATAAAAGTTCCTCCAAACTACAAGCTTTACGGATATAATTGCCATCATTATTATAGAATTCACATCTTACTACCCGCTGAACAAAATTCCCAGGAGGTCAGTTATTATTACTTACTTTGTAACTTCTTGTTTTCTGTACTGAATCTCACTGGCATGTGAAGTGTTGAGCAGTGGACAGCCTAAATCTGCATGCATATAACTTTCTATAACCCAAGAGAGATCGAAATGCTGAAAGATTTTAGGATCCTGGGACAAGACCCAAAGCTAAGTGACAGTTCTTTTGTCCAAGGGAAAAAAAGAGAAGGGTAGGAATGGTGTAAAATTTTGGCTGACCAGTCCAGTTTCTCTATATGCATTAGTGATTGGGGAAGGGGATAGGTGGGAGTAATTAAAATGTCCATTCTCTCTTCCTGAGACCCCTCCTTACCCTATTTACCACAGCAGATGCGGAAAATGTGAACTTCGCATCATAAAATATTTGAGACTTCTACTGTAAAACAACTTTTTTCTTTTTCTTCCTGTTTGTGACTATACCTCTGTAGTTCCCTCCCCCATTCTATTCTTTTACTCACCCTCTGTATATCATTTCTAAAAGTATCCCTTGTAAGCTGTCTTCCCCACATTCTTTGTCATCCTTCTTTCTATTCCTTTTTTCTTGAAATATCCTCTGATAAAATGACGTTTAATCCAGTAAATTAATAATCATACTTTCCTGTTTTATCATACACTCCTTATTTTTTATGCCAAATATGAAAGTTCACATTCAAATCTAATATAATAAGTGAACGATGTCATAAATTATTAAATTGCGTTTCCACATATGTGGTACCCCGGGTGCAATGAAAATGAGCACCCATATTAGCGATGATGTATAATGGTGCAACCCTTTTAAGCTATTTAGGCAGTATGTGTTAATGGCCTTTTAAATGTTCATATTCATACCCTTTGACCTAGTAATTTCATACTTTAGAATCTATTTGAAAGAAATAATCTTAAAAATGAAAAGGTATCTGTAACATCCTTAATGTTTAGCAGTAAAGAAGACTGATTATATAGTCATTTAAAATTATGTATAGCATGGAGGAATTACATAACTTTAAAAACAGAATAAAAATTTGTGCCTACAATAGAACTTGACAGATACAGATTTAGCATCTAAGGTTGGTGAAAATATAAATTCACATAATTTATTTTAGAGTAGTATGCCAACATATCAGTTTTAAATCCACATACCTTTTGACCTAACCATTATTCTTGTATTGATAAATTAATATGTGCTAAAATATTTGCAGTGATGATCATTGCAACACTAATTACAGTAAGTCTCTAATATTTTAAGTGGTAGTTTTTCTTCTAGGAATTTATCTGAAGGAAATAATCAAAACTGTGGATAGATATAAATCTAATATATATTTGTCCCTCTATTAATAATTATAAGGTAATATTAAAATCCTGAATGTCCAAGAGTAACAGATTAATTAAATAAATTATATATTCCATTATTGGAAAATTAGGCAGCATTGCAAAGCATGTTGTAGAAGATTGTGATGGCATCATCTTCTACAACACATACACACTCTCATGCACACACGCATGCATACACAGGCCAGAAAAACAAACACACATTAAATGTTAAGTTTTTAATTTTTTTCCTCCAGGTTGAAAGATACAGGTTATTTGTTTTTTTAATTATTTTTTAATCCTTGCCTGAAGGGAAATTAACTATTTATTTATTTATTTATTTATTTATTTATTTATTTATATTTTTCTTTAATGACCTATGACTGGACTTATCAAATATATAACAACCTTGAATATTTTCCCTTGCTTTTCTTTTTTTTTAAGTTAAAACTTTATTGAAATAACATCTGTTACCGTTGTTGGGGTTCTTGGGCTCCCCAAGATAGAAATCGAGAGGAAGCCTCAGAAATTTCCAGACAGATTTTATTAAGCTTATGCTGGAGCACAAGAGAGGCAGCACTGAGGAAAGAAAGGTCCTCTGAACTGGCTCAGGGGCCTCCTCTGCTTCGTTGTTTTTATAAGCTGGGGGCAAAGCAGACTTGTGTGAAAAGGCAGGCTTTTAAATAAAATTTAAAAGTGAGCTTGGGAATTTTCTATGTCAGGGTATTGAGAAGTAAGAGATTAGACAGGGGAGATGAGGAGTGGTTGCATTCTTGTGGTGGGCCTGTTTTTTCTGACCATCATGCAACCTTCGGATCCCAGTGAGGGGCCACGGGGTAATGCTGTATGATGGTTTTTTTGTCTGGTGTCCTTGGGATCCTCGGCTTAGATCCCTCTGCTGTCTCACATTGGTTAATAACAATACATAAATTTCAGGTGTACAACATTATAATTCAACATCTGTATACTGTATTGCATGCTCACCACCCAAAGTCATGAGTATTTTTTTAACTAAAAAAGATTAACAAGTATAAAGAACAGACTTGGAGGAAGTACATCAACATTTTAAACAGTAGCTGTTTTTAAGTGGTGGAACTAAAGGTAATATTTTGTATGTTTTCCTGTAATGAAAAAATGAGTATACTCATTTCATTGAACTTTTGTTTTGTAGCTTTATTAAAAGCATGATTGATAACAAACTAACATAATACCAAGTAACTTTTATATAGTTAATAAACTTTTAAAACATTTTATTTTCATTTTAGGCCAGAAATATACATACAGGAGAGTTGGCTGCAGTAAAAATTATCAAATTGGAACCTGGTATGTATTAAAACTCTCTACAGTTTTTGAACACTTTTCTTGTGCAGTTCATGAATATATGGAACTTAAAAGCATTTTCCATATTTCCTTTCTTCCAAAAGAAATGTTTATGTGTTGTCAGGGCAATAGGATGTCTCAAATATGGTTAGATTAAATTGCATTTGGGTGTTATTAGTTAAAGATAATGTTGATGTAATAGTTTTGTTGCTAAATAAAATTTCAAATGTGCACATTCAAAAATTGGAAGACACATTGACAATGTTAAAGTAATTTTAAGTTATAGTGAAATAGCTGAACTGCAAGTATTAACTTCTATGAGAATTTGATTAGGAAAGTATTCACTGATTTTTGGGGGATGGATATTGAGTGATATTCGGCAAAATGATACTTGAAAATTTTTTTTAAAATATGTTTTTATTGATTTTTAGAGAGAGGAAGGGAGAGGGATAGAGAGATAGAAACATCGGCTGCCTCCTGCATACCCCCTACTAGGGGATCAAACCCGCAAACCTGGGCATGTGTCCTGACCGGGAATCAAATTGGTGACCTCTTGGTTCATGGGTCAACACTCAGCCACACCAGCCAGGCCATAATGATATTTTATATGCCAGCTGAGGTCTGGCTGATTGATTTAGTTTTAATAACTCTGGTCTTAGCCTAATGCTTTTTTCTGTCAGAAGGCTGTTTGTTTTAAAACATACTGAGTAATTTGCTTTGAAACAAAAGTGCTGTATAAAACTTGAAGATTCCACACATAAGTGAGATCTGTTATACTTAAAATGCCCTCAATGCCCATCCATATTGTCGCAATTAAAAGTTTCTAATGAGAGCAATAATAGCTTTTATTTTCTCCAAGTTTTTTTTTTATTGTGTTAAAATATACATTACATAAAATTCACCATCTAAGCCATTTTTAAGTATAGTTTAGTGGTATAAATTACATTGATAATGTGCTATCATCACCATCATCCAACTCCAGAATTCTTTTCATCTTGTAAAACTGAAACTCTATACCCAGTAAACAGTAACTTCCCATTCCCCTCTTACCCCCAACCACCATTCTGTCTTCTGTCTCTGCTTCTGACTACTTTAGGTTCTTCAAATACAGTGTTTTCATCATCTGTGCTTTAGAATTGAGGAATTGATATTCTGTTTGGGTTGTTTCATTACATTTTCTGGGGGGTTTTCTTCTGTTTCTTACCATTAAAAAATATGTTTTCTATATGACCATACATTTTTATAGCATGGTATTTTAGCATTTTTCAGTAAAGGCGGAGTAAATGGTGTTTTTCACACTTTCAGAGCAGATTTAAGGGAATATTTAGGTGAAAAATCTGATGGTATGCTAACGAATTTTCCCAGCATTCAGTTACATCAAATAATTCTGGAGACAGCTGTATTTCAGAAATGAATTCTTAACTATACACAGCTTTTTTAAAAATTGCACTAAAGCCAGTATATTACAAAAGTGCTTCCTTGTATTGATTTAACAGATGAGCTGGTTTAGAATTGTTTTTAGACATGAAAAGATAATTATTTGCCAGTAGACTTACAAAAAGCCTTATGTCTGATAAAACATAAGACTTTTTTTTAAGTAAATGAAAGTGCAGCTGTAAACTTAATAATACTCCAGTTAAAAATAATTGAAGTTTATAGTAATTTTAGGGTCTTGAATTTTATTAATGATTTTACTGACTTACCCCTGGCAATTTAAATTTATAATATTATATTTAAAATTGTACTTAAAAATTGCTTTTGAGGCTTTTCCTAATACTCATAAAAATTCTAAAGTGAACATTAGAGTCAACAATAAAAATAGATTAGCACAGAGAATTGGTTTTTTAATTAGTCACAAAATCATTTTAAAAGATAATGAGTCAGCATTCCTTCCTATGTCCCTTTGTTTTTATTATTTTTATACACAGATAATTATTTCTAAGAATGATTTAACCACTTCTTTATCTCATTTTGATAGTAGGTGCTTGTTAAATATAGGCACCATCTTACAAATAAAGTTTGACATACCAGTGATTAGTATTGAAAATAAATAATATATATTAGTGGTACCATTTTGGTTTTCAGTTGCATATTCCATCTCCTTGGTCAGGCATCAGAACTACTCTAGAAAAGCAGGCAGGTAGTATGATGATGTTTGTCACCATGTTTTCCTTCCATGTCTGAATTTCAGCTTGCCCTCTAACTCAATTTACAGATGTTCATTTGCTCAAACAAGTCTGTAGCTAGTGGCAGCCAAAAGCCAGAACAGGAGCAAGATTCTTGGAAAAGTTAATCATCAGAACCCTACTTTCCCTTCCCCTCTCTTCTCTCTTCCAATTATCCTTTTATGGTACAACTATATGATATTTTAAAATTATGCAAATTATAGTTTGTTAAAAATTGTGAGTCTTGCTTACAAGGATGGAATTTTATTAAATTACCACCCAGAGTGCAATATACTTAAATGCTAAATTGAAATATTCACAAAATAGTTCATTATGTTTAAATAAAGTAACAAGTCAAATGTATTTCATTAGTGTAGATAGTTTTCAAAATAAGAATCTTTGAATAGATGTTTATAACTTTTCTCAGTTTTGTCTTGTTTCCTGGAAGTATAAGCACAGAAAGAAGAAAAATTTTTTAAAAAGTCAAGAAGTCTATAAAGATTTAAACAGCTGTTAGTTTGCCTTGTTAATGTTCTTCAAAGAAATTCCAAAGTAGGGGCTTTGGCCAAATAGGACAAATGTCAACTATTCTGGTTAAGTGCTGTGTTCTTGCTGTTCAGTATTGGCTTCTATTTTGAAATCTAATAAATTTGATTTTTAAAAATAATCTGTAAAGTAAAATATTGGTACCTTATCTTTACTATTTGGAAAGTTCAAGCCTGAATTGGTAGAAAATGTTAATTTGAGGTCACAAATGCCCACCAAATATATCCTTATATTGGTTTTAAATAATAGATACAGAAAACTAATATGGTTAAATAGATATTGTCTGCTATTTAACAGGTAAAAATCACTTTTAATTCTAGGGTACTCTTTTTCAGGTAGATACCAATTTGCTTTTGACCACAAGATAAAATTGAAATGTAAACATTTTTTGTTACTATGTAATAAAAAAGGTGAACTACAGTGCCATGTTTTAAATTAGTGAATTTAAAACAGATAGGGTTTTTCTCTTTAGGTGAATTTTCAGAATCTAAGGCATCCCAAAGAAAATGTTTTGTTAGAATTGACTGTCCTATTTATTTGCATTCTACATTCATTTTGCTGAGTTGAAAAAATTGGATTTTTTTGTGTTTTTATTTTTCAGTATTGCTTTGGCTCTTTGAGGTGTATCCTTCCATTTTTTTGTGTCATCAGTTTTTTTTCTTCAGTGTCTTAGAGTTTTCTGAGTACAGGTCATTTACCTCCTTGGTAAAATTTATTCCTAGATAATTTATTAATTTTGATGCAATTGTTAATGGAATTGTTTCCTTAATTTCTTTATCTGACTATTTATTATTGATATATAAAAATGCAATCAATTTCTGTATTAATTTTGCATCCTGCAACTTTACCAAATTCATTTATTAGTTCTAATAGTTTTTGGTGGACTCCTTAGAGTTCTTTATAATAGTACTATATTATCTGCAAACAACAACAATAAATATTGTTTGTCTTGAATTGGAATCACATTATGTGTATTGCTTTAAAAACCTTAGTTTTCTTAGTTGCAAATGTCTCTTCGGGTGGCACACCCAGCCGTGTAGCAGAAGCTAATGTAGTCTTCTCACCTTTAACTCAAGCTTGAAAGAATTCCCACACATAAAGTTCCAAGAAATTAGAGCTCAGAGTCAAAAATCACAGAAGACACAAGGAATTAAGGTGCCTTGAGCAAGAGTCAGCAGAAACAACAACAGAATAGACCCATAAAGACATCAGATTTTGGAATTATATATTCTACATATGATATTATTAGATAAATAAAAGAATGATTTGAAACTGTGAGTAAAAACTCTATTTGGTGCATACTGAAAAAACTTTTAATTATAAAATGTTGCATTATGCACTTATGTTTAAAGTATATGTAATCATTTATGTAATACACATTTTTCCCAGTGTTACAAATAAAAACTAGGTTTTCTTTAGAGATTTTTTACTCAGATTTTTATTGTTTGCAGATTGTACCCATATTTGGTTTATCTAATTCCTTAAAATTGTTAACACTAAATCCTTTCACTGAATTATTAATTGACATTTACATGAACTATTGAAAAGAGTACCTAAATGATTATAAATAAATTTGTTGTATATTAGCTACACTAAAGATATGTATAAACCACATCAGCAATGATAGGTTCTTTAATAGGTCTTTTATGACATGGCAACAATATTTAAACCTTTCTTTTGACTTTGAATTGAAAGGGGAAAATACTTTGATTTGTATTAGACTTTTATTTGAAGGCCTGGTTTATGAGTATTTACTTCTCAGCCTTGTATGTTTTTCTAAAATGACTTAAAGTTAGAGCCAGAGCCTATCTGGACAGTTTTTTTTAATCGTCATTCACGGATATGTTTATTGATTTTAAACAATAAACACCGACGACGTGAGAGACATCAGTGGGTTACCTCCCATATGCGCCCTGCCTGGGAATTGAATCCACAACCTAGGCATGCGCCCTAACCAGAAATCAAACCCACAACTTTTTGGTGTATGGGAGGACGCTCCAACCAATGGAGCCACCCAACCAGGGCTGGACACCACTGGTTTTAAACCTAAAGTTACTTTACAAAAGACCAATTCAAAACAGTATCTAATGAAAAATATCTTACAATGATGATCTAAATGAGGAACACGTTTGTTTGAATCTTTCTCATCTCCAACATACAGTAATTGCTCTTGCACTTATTCTGTGTCAGACATTGTACTCAGTGCACCACATGCATTAGCTCTTTTTCACAACATTCTCAACTGAGTATTGCATAAACAGAAACACGGGGGCATAAGAATCTGTTACAGAAATGGCCAGCTACTCGGTATTACTGACATTAAGGAATGTTTAGGAAAGTGGTAGATAAGGAAGCTAAGTACTGTATGTGGAATAAATCCACATGCTACTTAGCAGATTCAGCTGTGGCTCAGAGGGTTAAAGTTGTCCAAGGTGACATTGAGAGTGAGTGGCTGAATCAGGATTTGAATTCAGGTGTCCAAGTGTATCTAATCTAGAGCTGGAGCTCTTAATTTCTACATTATATTGCTTTCACATAATACACATGCAATGATTTTATCAACACATACTCCTTTTACTGAAATAAATACTACTTCTGTGCAAAATGAAGTTCAGTGATGATGATATTTTAGGCAGTATTCCCATGATAACCATAAAATTCTCATAAATAATCAGTATTTCATTTTAATATAACTTTTTCTTGTTAAACAATTCAAACAGGTTTATGATAGACATATTGGAAAATGCAAATCAAAAAAGAAAGCAAAATTACTTTTAATTTTACCACCCAGACAGAAACCTGGTGTATGTTTTTAAGATATTTTTTCTGTGTACATATGTACTTACATAATTATATAAAATATCCCTTCACTTAATATATCCTGAACATATTTTCATATCAAAACCTGTTTGTATCTATGTTGTAATATCTATAACTATACCATAGTTATTCAACCATTCTTTCATTATTAAGTCACACTGTAGAGAACATTCATCTCTGCATATCTCAAGAAAAAAGTTGTTGAAGTAAAATGATTTCAAAGATTTTGTGTATTTTTAAGGTTTCTGGCTTTATAGGAAGAATGTACCAGTTTACATTCCTATTGAAGTATTAAGAATGTATAATTCCTCATCTCTAATACTTACTGTAAAGTTTTCCTTCCTCCCATTTATAGAGACTCAAAATCTAACATGATGACCAAGTTATTATTTTGTTTTTCAGGAGATGATTTTTCTTTGATTCAACAAGAAATATTTATGGTTAAAGAATGTAAACATTGCAACATTGTTGCCTATTTTGGGAGCTATCTCAGGTAAAAAAAGCTTCTGTTCTCTCTTTGTATTTATATGTCTTTGCTATCACTCTCCCTCCCTTTTATGTCAGTGCTGTTATATATGAAAATTTTAAAAATTGTCTCAAGTTCTAAAATTTCTTGTTTCCTGTTATATTAATAGTGATATCTCCACTTATGCAATTATACCTTATCTGGCAACCTTAGTGAAATACTGTGAATGATTACAAGTAAGTGTTTTAGCTTAAAGAAGTGGTGTATTCTAGACTATATAAGATGGGAACAAAGCTGAAGTAATATGTTTTTCTGTAGCTTGAAGAGAGACTGCCATACCCAATACATTCAATAAAAAGGAAAAATAAATGAAAAAGAGAGACTGCCAGGGCAGTTCTCTGTAGCACTCTGAAATTCATCCTAAATCTTGGTGTGATGAAGAGGGAGAGCCTTCATGATGTGTCAGTGATTGAGAGAATTACTAGCTAATGTACTTTTCTTTCTCTTTCATATTAGTCGGGAAAAACTGTGGATTTGTATGGAATACTGTGGCGGCGGATCACTTCAAGATATTTACCACGGTACTATTAATTTGTCTTTATAGTTTAAGACTGACTCTGATTTTAGTGGCTGTTGTTTGACTTGTCTAGTTAACTAGGGATATTAAGAGGTAGATTTACTGTTCTACATTCTTCTGTTCTGTTCCTGGAGTATGTCATAAGAGAAATCTAAATTTAATTTTTTGATGGTTATTCAGTTAAATTTGCTGGAGCCTGAACTGCAAAATTCAAAAGTACTTGAACAATCCATATTTTACTTTTTAGATGTAGTCCTTTAGGAAAGTATTTTATCTACCAATGAAACTGCCTAAACTTCCTTGTAAATAAGAATTGAAATGCAAAGGGTAAACTCCCTCATAAAGAAAATTATATGTCTGTCTTAATAATTAACTTTCTATCTAGGAAAGAATTTAGTTGCTCTAATATTTTTGTATTAAAAATGTATAATTTTTAAAAATATAGAGTATTTTATTTAGCATTCTGTTAATTTAGGCCGTTTTTTTAGTTGAATTTGATTTAGCCTCATAATAATATTTAGAAATAGTTTTCGTTTTGGTTCTACAGTTTAGCTTCCAGTTTGTTTTGTTGTTGACAATTTCCTGAGTTTCTAGAGTTTATGAGACTGAGCATAGATCCTTATAGAATAACTTTATTTAACTGGATATGGAATAGTAAAATCCTATTGCAACCATGCATTGTATAACTTTTATGTATTTTTAAACATTTAAGTACTTTTAAACGTTTCTTTGCTGAAATCTTTATATTGAAAGCCTTATCAAATTTCATGCAATTTACAAATGCAGTTTACAAATGCAACCATAGTAGATGTAAAAACAAGTGCCACCGCAGTTTAAATAATACCTGTAGCTTGTGGAGGTCGAATTTTTAATTGTCAATCAATAGAGCGGTGGTTAAGTATACACTGCATCTATAATATGGAATACTGTGAAGCACTTAAAAAGATGAAATAGTTCCATTTATATTAACCTGGATATATCTTCCCAAGGACTTTTTTTTAAATGGAAAAAATGACTCATGAAAAAATTTGTATAGCATAATAAATCATACTTAGTTAGCCTTTTTAAAAGGATATGTATGAATGTAAATGCATACCAAAATAAAAGGATACATATCACATTGATAAGTCATTACCTCTAGGGAGGAGAAGTGGGACTCATAAATAAAAGTTTGAATTATAATATAAATGTATTGATATATTAATTATACATTAATAAATAGAATAATTATCTAATTTTGTCACAACAAATAACCCATGACAAAAAAAAGGTTGTGATGTTTAAACTCTGGTAACTGCTTCTTTTTTTCTTTTTAAGAGAGGGAGGAAGGGAAAAAGAAATAAATACATCGATCGGTTGTCTTCCATAGGTGCCCCAACTAGGATTGCCTCTTTTTACTTAAAGTAATATTTAATACCACATAATTCCAAATATACAAAATAATAAAGTGTTTAAAGCAAGAACTAACCACATGTTTTAAAAGAGAAAAGTAAGTTTTATGTTCTTATTTAGTAGCCTTTAATTTTCTTATGACTGTTCTCTTTTATTTTACCCTATTGTTGATTTTAAAGAATTATTGGTAGAAAATAGCTCTATGCCACTTGATTAAAAAGTCTTTTCTGTGACCCCAGCTGGTTAGCTCAGTTGGTTAGAGTGTCATCCCAATAACACCAAGGTTGTGGGTTTGATCTCCAGTTAGGACACATACAGGAACCAGCCAGTGATGCATAAATAAGTGGAACAACAAATTGATGTCTCTCTCTCTCTCCTTTCCTCCTCTTTTCTCCCTCCCTCTCGCCCCTTCCTCTCTCTAAAAATCAATAAAAACAAAAACTAAAAAAGTTTTTTTATATGATTTTTATGAAGATCTTCCCCTCTCTCTCCCCCGCCGTCCTCCTTTCTCCCCCTCACCCCTTTCTCTCTCTCTAAAAATCAATAAAAACAAAAACTAAAAAAGTTTTTTATATGACTTTATGAAGAATTATCTTTTATAGAGTTTTTATATAGTAATTATAATTTTTATTCATTCACATTATTACAGAATTGAGAACTCAAGAATATGGATAAATAAAACTATATAGTTGTCATTTTTCACTATTTCTTGTGTTAAACTTAAAGAATTGTTTTGGACATTAATTTTATCTTCATGAAATTTCTACTTGCCATTATTAAAACCTGATACTTGTTGAATTCAGTTGAACCTAAGAAGTATTCATTTCTGTAAATAGTGTATTAGATAGCATAGTAATCAAGAACATCTACACTTATGATAAACTGTTAATAAAGTGGTTTTCCTTCTTTTACTAGTATTTCATCATGTTACTAAGAATCAAAAGTTTATGTTTCTGAATAGGTATAGAGAGCCAGTGATTAAAATGTGCAGTAAAATATTTCTCTTACGTAAAGATTACAAGTAAGTACCTCAGTTGGTTTCACCACCCTAGATTTCAAATATTCTCTTCATGGTACTGGATACATTTCCAAAACCTCTGGTTGGGTACTTGCAGAAGGATTTTGTATTTTATAATAGGGAGAGATCTGGTTGCCAGAAGTGATGTGCTTGCTTTTTAAATTTTTAGATAAGGTACTGGATCAAGCTTCTCTGTTTTGATAGCTTTAGTAAAGAATTATACTAAAGAAATAATATCTTGCCCTGGCCGGGTGGCTCAGTTGGTTTGGCATTGTCCTATGCACTGAAAGGTTGCCAGTTCGGTTCCAGGTCAGGGCACATGCCAAATTTCAGGCTCCATTCCTGGTATGGAGCATGCAGGAGGCCACTGATCGATGTTCCACTCTCACATGGATGTTCTCTCTCTCCCCCTTCCTCTCACTCTAAAAAAATTAATAAAAAATTTTTTTAAAAAGGAAATGGGTACTATCATTAAAAAGAAGAAGAAGAAATAATATCTTGACCTTTTAAAAAGTATCTGATGTCTTTCATTCAGTACATTTCAACAGTCTCTTTATGGCTCTCTACTTCACTGTATAGCTCTATTTAATTATATGTTTTTCTCATTTCTTCACTTTATTTTTGAAAAATTGTTCAGGATTTAGATCATGTCCATTGCTTTCTATAGAACAGCCTGTGATGCCTAGTAATGTGATTTGCACATAAGGGGTACTTAATATTTTCACTGACCAAAGTTGTTATGGAGTAGATCTTTCATTTTAAAAGTACAGTTCTAATTCTCATCTTTCCTTTTTGTTGTTTTCTGATTATAAGAATAATTTATGTTCATGATGAGACATCACCCAACGATATATACAGAAGTTTTGTAATAACTTTTAATGGTCATTTTAAAGGAACTTTTTTTGTTTTGTTTTGTTAATCCTCACCTGAGGATATTTTTTCCATTGAGTTTTAGAGAGTAGAAGGAAAGGGGGTTGCTGAGAGAGAAAAACACCGATGTGAGAGAGAGACACCGATTGGTTGCTTCCCGCACATGCCCTAACTGGGATCAACCTGCAGCTCAGGTACATGCCCTTGACTGGGAATCGAACAGTCGACCCTTCAGTGTGCAGGCCATTGCTCCAACCACTGAGTCGCACCAGCCAAGGGACCCTTCAGTGTGCAGGCCATTGCTCCAACCACTGAGTCGCACCAGCCAAGGCAATAGTTTGTCATTTTAAAAGTAGACTGTTTTTAATCTGTTTTATTCAAATGTATTACAGTGTGGGTTTGTGTTTTTTTTTCTTTCTAGTTACTGGACCATTATCAGAGTTGCAAATAGCCTATGTATGCAGAGAAACTTTACAGGTACTACATTTACTTATGTAGCTAAAAAGGCAGTTCTTATTTCATAATTGAAAACTATAAAATGGCGATCTACGCAAAAAAATGAAAACCAAATTTTTCTGCTAACTTCTAATGTAATTTTGTAAACCTAGTTATTTCTTTTGTGAATGACTGACAAGAATTCATTTAAGCTGATGCTGGTATACACAGTAGTCTTCTGCCATTTCTCCCCAAAATAAAGTAAATTAGCATAACAATTACCCAGAATGATATCTGGAAATCCTAGTTCTGTATGATATTAATAAAAGCCATTGATAGCAGAATCTTTTTTATAAGCTCGGTAAACATTGTATTAAGTGGAAGGTTTTTTTATTTATTTCAGATCTGTGAGTGCTTTTAGTTTGTTAAAATAGATTGTGAATCTTCCATAGGAGTATAGAGTATGCAGCATTTCTGCCAATTTATCTTTTCAGTGTCCTGAAGGACTGTTCATTGAGAAAATTAGCAATTAACAATTTTGTTGGACTGTTCATTGAGAAAATTAGCAATTAACAATTTTGTTCATATACTTTAAGGCATTTAAAGTAGGAAGAGGGTTTAAGCTGTAGTGTTTGTGTTTTTTATTTTGTTAATTTACAACTGATAATTGTTAATTGATGCTTCTATCCCTACATTTCCTAGATTGTGTAGTTTGTTCAGAAGTGAAATTGATGTTCTATGTGTTCTTCCATGTAGGAGAGATTGACCTGATTTCAGAGAAAGCTCTAGTCATTTTGAAAAGATTTGGTTTCCACATGCTTTAAAAGACATACCATGTCAGATTTTATTGTTAGATATATGAATGTAAATTCCTTTTATATATATGTAGAATTTCTTAATATTCACATAACATAGAAATCTCTTTGTATCCACATAAAATACAAAGCTAATTATACACTCACAGAGAATTATTGACAGGTTAACTTTTTTATGTTTTAATTTCCAAAGTTCATTGCTTGTATGAGTAATGGACAGAGTACAGAATGGAAACAATAACTAGCATTTGTATTCTGGTCCTGGTATATGACCATAATCTCTTCTACAGTTCTAGTTCCTCAAGGACAAAATGAGTACTTGGAAGGGATCACCTCCAAGATTAGTTCCAATTTTAAAATTCTGTTATGCTCACAAACTTCCACATCTGGTGTCTGCCAACAGATGAATGGTTAAAGAAGGTGTGATACACATACACACACGCTGGTGCACACACGCGTGCACGCACACATAATCACAATGGAATATTATTCAACCATAAAAATGAATGTGGAGGACATTTTGCTAAATGAAATTAGCCGGGTACAGAAAGACAAATAATACATGATCTTATCTGCAGAATCTAGTTGAATTCACAGCTGCAGAGAGTAGAATGGTGGTTACCAGGGACTTGGTGAAGGCAGGGAAGAGAAATGGGGAGATGTTAGTCAAAGAGTGTCAAGTTGCAGTCATGTAGATTGACTGATTACTGATGTACAGCATGATGACTAAAGTTAATAATGCTGTACTGAATATCAAAAGTATGCTAAGAGAATAAATTTCAGGTGCTCTCATCACAAAACATAGCAACTGTATGAGATGATATGTTAACTACTCAGGTAATCATTTCATTGTATATGCATATCAAATCATCATGTTGTACACCTTAAATATATACAATTTAATTAAATAAAAAAATTTTTAAAGAAAGGACAGAAATTGTCAGAATGGAAAAAAGCAAAATCCAAATAGATGCTACCTACAAGAAAATACTTTTATAAAGACAAATAAGTTGAAAGTAAGGAAAAGAAACAATTATACCATACTAAATATTCAAAACAATGCCAGAGTGGCCATGTTAATATCAGACAAAGTAGACTTCAAAGCAAAGACTATTACTAAAGAAGGTCATTTTATCAAAAGACTTAACCCTAAATGTTTATGTTCCTCATAAAACACAGCTCAAAATAAATGAGCAAAAACCAGTAGAACTGCAAGGAAAATAGATTTATGCACAGTTCAATACCCCTCTCACAATAATTTTGAAAAACAAATATGCAGAAAATCAGTATGTATATAGAAAAGTGGAACAATGCAATCAACCAACTTGACATTACTGACATTTTAGTCCAACAACAGTGGGATACATGTGCTTTTCAAATGTCCACAGAGCATTTACCAAGATAGACCGTATTCTGGGCCATAAAAATATGTCTCAATTCATTTAAAAAGATTTAAGTAATACAAAGTATGTTCTCTGACCACATGCAATTAAATTAGAAATCAAACTAAATAAAGTACTGATGAGTAACCCATGGGTTGAAGAAATCAAAAGAGAAACTAAAATGTATTTTGAACCAAATGAAATGAAAACACAACAAAATTTGATATGCTACTAAGGCAGTACTCAGAGGGAAGTTCATAACACTAAAAAGGTGTTTAACCTCTTTTAGAAAGAAGGAAAGGTCTGAAATCAACATCCTCAATTTCCACTTTAAGAAACTAGAAAAAGATGAGATTAAATGCAAAGTAAGCAAAGAAAGAAAATAATGAAGATCAGAGTGGAAAACATGAGAAAAATCAATGAAACAAAAATATTCTTTGAGGTTAATAAAATTGATAAACCTTTAGCCAGATTGATCAAGAAAAATAAAAAGAGAAGACACAAATTACTAATATTATGACAGAATCTATAAATATTAAGAGGATAACAAGGATAATCAGTACCCAAGGATATTATCAACAGCTTTATGCCAATAAAACCTACAACTTAGATGAAATAGACAATTTCCTTGAAAGGCACAAAACTACCAAAGTTCAGTCAGTTAGAAATCATCTGAATAGTTTATATCTGTTCCCACAAATAAATCTCCAAGCTAGATAATGTCATGGATAAATTCTGTCAAGCATTTAAGGAAGAAGTAATGCCAATTCTATGCAAACTCTTCTAGAAAAATGAAGAATAGAGAATACTTCCCAAGTCATTTTATAGGCCAGCATTGATCTGAAGCCAAAATCAGACATTACAAGAGAATACAACTATAGACTAATATTCTTCATAAACATAGATGCAGAAATTAGTAAGGAAAATAAAATGTTAACAGTAGCAATCCAACATTATATAAAAACGATAATACTTCATGAACAAGGTGGGGTGGTGGGTGGTGGGCGGTATCCTAGAATGCAGTGTTGTAACATTTAAAAATCATTTCAAGTAGTTGTCTGTATTAGCAAACAAAAATAAAAACCACATGATCATCTAGACACAGAAAAAGCATTTAGCAAAATCCAACATTCATTTGTGATAAAAATTTTCAGCATTCTGGGAATAGAACAGAACTTGTTCAACCTGATAAAGAGCAGCTATGAAAAGCCTACAACTGTGTCACTCTTAGTGGTAAAGATTAGATACTTTCCCACCAAGGTCAATCAAACAAGGCAAGGTGTCTGCTCTCACCAGTTCTTTACAACATTGTGCTAGAGGTTTTGGCCATTGCATAAAGAAAAAACAGTGAAATAAAAGGCATCTGAATTAGAAAGTAAGAAGTAAAACTCTTTATTCAGAGAGTACAGAATTATCTATGTAGAAAATAGAATTGAATGTACAAAGTAGCTACTAGAGCTAATAAGTATAGCTAGAAAGGTTGTAGGATTCAAGATCAATATACAAAATCAATTGGGTTTCTATACACTAGCAATAGACATTCAAAAATTAAAATTTTTAAAAATACCGCTTATAAAAATAAGATTCTTAGGGATATACATATATCATAAAAGATGCATAAACATCTGTGTGCTGAAAACTATAAAACTGCTGAGAGAAATTATAAAAGATTTACCTAAATAAACAGAGAACTATAACAGAAAACTCAATACAATAAAATGTTAGTTCTACCCAGATTGACCTATAGATTCAATGCAATTTCAATCAAGGAAGCTTTTTGTTATAGAAATTGACAGGCTCATTCTAAAATTCCTATGGAAATAGGAAGGGCCTGGATAGTCAAACAACTTTGAAAAAGAAGAACAGAATTTGAAGTCTGCAGTAGCAATTTCAGTACTTAAAAACCACTAATCAAATCATAGTGGTATTGGCATAAGGGTAGATAAGTAGTTCAGTGGAGAAAGGATATGGTTTTTCAGTAAATGATACTGGAATAATTGGACATCCATATACAAACAAGTGAACCTCAAGCCATACTTCACACCATATATAAAAATCTCATACACCTAAATATAAAATATAAAACTAGAAATTCTAGAAGAGAACATTGGAGAAAATTTTGCAATGTTGAGTTAAGCAAAACCTTTTCAGACATAACGTGAAAAGCATGATCCATAAGATAAGAACTTGGTAAATTAGACTTCATCAAAATTAAAACTGTCCTCTTCAAGAGGCACTGTTAAGAGAATGAAAGGACAAGCTACAGACTGAAAGTAGAAATTTGCAAATACAGATCTGATCAGGGACTTGTAGCCACAGTATATAAAGAGCTCTCAAAACTCAGTAGTAAAAACAACCACCCAATAAGCAAATGGACAAGAGATTTAACCAGACACTTCACCAAGGAAGATATATGGATGGAAAAGATGCTCAACATCATTAGTTATTAGAAAAGTGTGTATTAAAACCACACTGAGATAACACACCAATTAGAATGGCTAAAATGAAAAAGACTGACTTAAGAAGGTTGGTGGGGATGTGGATTAATGGGAACTCTCATACATTGATGGTTTCAGTGTAAAATGGTATAGCTGCTTTGGAAAACAGTTTGGCAGTCCCCAGAAGTTTAACTTGTACCACCATATGATCCAGCTGTTAACACTGCTAGGTATTTACCCAAGAGGAAAAAAATCATGCAACAGCTGTACATGAATCTTCACAGCAGCTTTATTTATAAATAGCCCCACAATGGAAACAACCCAAATGTCTGTGAACAGGCGAATGGATAAACAAATTTTGGTATATCTGTATAGTGGACTACTACTCAGTAATAAAGAATGAACTATTGATATACACATTAACAAGGAATGTCACATTGATTATTGTGAAAGATCCAGACAAAGAAGAATACACTGTATGATTACTTTTACATAAAACTCATTAATTCAGAAATGATCTATAGTAACAGAAATCAAATCAGGATCAATGGCTGTTACTATCACTAAAAGACAACCAGACATTGTGTAATTCCTAATGGACGTCAGCACAGCTGAACAGTCATCTTTCTCAGGTCTGAATTTCAGTTTCACAGGATACTTTTTCCAGGCTTCTGAGTATTAATAATTCTAGTCTCTTCTCTCACCTACTCCCCCAGGTCCTAGGGCTTTGGTAGCAGCTTCCTGCAGTTGCTGCTGCTGTAATACGTTAGCATTCTGTCTGTTCCCTTTTAGTTCTTTGTTCAAATAACTTGTTTTTCAGTCTCCTGACTGGACTTTGACTGGTATAGCACCACCCATGAGGTAATTTTACCAAAATAATTCAATCTTGAATCTCATCAAGACCCTAGATATAAGTGCTCATTTACTGGTAATACAGGGGGTCAGAGGAACATATAAAACAACATCATTGGGATGTAACTAGCAAAATCTGAATCCTGGGAGACTGCACAGGATAAACAGCACTTTCTTTAACAAAAACTTACAAGGAAAAAGTAGTAAGATATGGCAGAGGATCCTGTAGATTAAGAGAGAAGTAGGAATCATGTCAACAAATTGCAGTGTGCAAACCTTGTTTGGATCCCACTATAAACAATTGTGAACACTGGATATTTGGTAATATTAAAGAGTTGTTAGCCCGGCCGGGCATGGCTCAGTGGTTGAGCGTCGACCTAGGATCCAGGCGATCCAGGTTTGATTCCCGGTCAGGGCACATGCCCGGGTTGCGGGCTACAGCCGATCAATGACTCTCTCATCATTGATGTTTCTATCTCTCTCTCCCTCTCCTTTCCTCTCTCTGAAATCAATAAAGATATATTTAAAAAAAAAAAAAAAAAGTTGTTAATTACAAGAAAATAATACCAGTGTGGTTATGTGTTTTTTTAAAAATTCACTGTCTTAGTGAATGAAATTATACAATCTGAGTCATTCGGAATAATATGGTAGTGTGGAGAGGGGTGTGTGTGGTGTGTGAGGGTCAAGATGAAACAAGACTGACCATGACTTCATAGTTGTTGAGTTTAGATGATGGCTACATAGGGATTCATTGTATTGTTACTCAGGCTTTATATGTGAAGTTTTCTATAATAAAAAATATTTTAATGGAAAAAAAAGAAAGCAGATTATTGTGTGTGTGAGAGACTTTTGGAATCAATGCATATGTCCATTTTCTTCATTGTGGAGATGGTGTTACAGTAAAATATTTCTAATTTTTATCAGAAAATGAATTTGAAATCTTAAAATNCTATCTCTCTCTCCCCCTCCTTTCCTCTCTCTGAAATCAATAAAGATATATTTAAAAAAAAAAAAAAAAAGTTGTTAATTACAAGAAAATAATACCAGTGTGGTTATGTGTTTTTTTAAAAATTCACTGTCTTAGTGAATGAAATTATACAATCTGAGTCATTCGGAATAATATGGTAGTGTGGAGAGGGGTGTGTGTGGTGTGTGAGGGTCAAGATGAAACAAGACTGACCATGACTTCATAGTTGTTGAGTTTAGATGATGGCTACATAGGGATTCATTGTATTGTTACTCAGGCTTTATATGTGAAGTTTTCTATAATAAAAAATATTTTAATGGAAAAAAAAGAAAGCAGATTATTGTGTGTGTGAGAGACTTTTGGAATCAATGCATATGTCCATTTTCTTCATTGTGGAGATGGTGTTACAGTAAAATATTTCTAATTTTTATCAGAAAATGAATTTGAAATCTTAAAATATAGTAAACACTGACGAGTAACAAGAAACTCATGTAGGGTTTTCCCCCTGCAAAAAAGACATACTGGTTTTTCTTAATAAGAATTCAAGTAGGAAATTTAGGCGCCAAGTTTGCAGTTTTGCTAATGCTACCTTTTTTTTAACTTTAGGGTCTTGCCTACTTGCATACTAAAGGCAAAATGCATAGAGATATCAAAGTAAGTTTGTTTAATGTGTTCAAATTTATAATTTTATTGGAATGAATTTTATGATACTAATTAAATAGTATTTGTATTTTTGTTTCAGGGTGCAAATATTTTATTGACAGATCATGGTGATGTAAAATTAGGTATGTTATATTTCAAATTTCTAACATTTCCCCCCCCAATTTTAATAAACTTTAAATTTAATGTTATGCAGGTTTAATATTCATATCAAGAGCCGCAATAATGTTCATCTTTTGACCCAGCAGTTTTACTCCTGAGACTCAGTTTAAGGGGATTAATCCTAAAGATTAAAAAAAACATATTCACAGGAAGGTTAACCATAACATTATATATATATATATATATATATATATATGTGTATGTGTACACACACACACACACACAAAAGAAAAAACTGAGAACATAGCTCTAGCAATAGAAAAACTTAAGTTGTGATAAATCCACTTAAGGAACATTATTCAGTTAATAGTTAAGCCCTGGCCAGGTCAGGCAGTTGGTTGGAGTGTCATCCCGTGCATGGGAAAGTTATGGGTTCGATCCCCAGTTGGGACGAGTGTGGGAGACAACTGATCTATGTTTCTCTCTCACATCATTGTTTGTGTCTCTCTCCTCCTTCCTCTCTCTCTAAAATCAGTAAAAGCGTATCCTCGAGTGAGGATTTAAAAATAAATTAATAGTTAAGAGGAGTAAGAGTAAAGACGAGTAAAATCCTCTGGTCTGTTATGTGACAAAAATGAACTGTATTTGTATTTAATTTTTTATAACCGTGTTTGGCAACAACAATAAAAAAGTTTATACAAAGAAAAATAACTTTTTTGCCTGGCCAAAGCCCACTGGGGTGCACTCAAAAAAAAAAACACCCAGCTTTTTTATAATAGCACCAAAATACTCACCTGGTTATGTTAGAATAAAAGGAATTCAGGTGGGTGTTTTATTTTTTGTTCTTTTTTTCAAATTAACTTTAATATGCTTGTAATAAAAATATTTTTATTAACCTTGTTCTTAATAAAGTATATTTTCATTTTAGTAAAGCACCAATAAATTATTTTCTTTTAATGGGTGTGTTAAAAACTAAGCAAGAAGGGATTTAGGTATTCTATTTTTATACATTTCCCTAGCATTACTATCTGAATTATTAATAACATCATGCTAAGGGTGAAACTTAGAAATGTTAATGCTTTTATTGAAAAGAACTAAAATTCTCTGTTTTATTTTTTCCCCCCACCAGCTGACTTTGGTGTAGCTGCAAAAATAACAGCTACCATTGCAAAGAGAAAATCTTTCATTGGCACACCTTACTGGTAAGACAGATTTATATTATGATTGAATTTTGTGCATTTTCATTTCTGTAGGAAGTCTGAAGGCTTGCATGCTCCTTGATACTATCATAGTTTTAATTGGGTTTGGAAACTGATACTCATTTTCATTGTCCATCTTTCCCTGTGTTAAAGTGCTAATAATTCCTGTTGTCTCTGGGACCTTGTTTTGAGAGCATTCATAGGTATGAGGTGTTTCAAAAGAAAGGCACATAATTTCTTGTCATTTTGTTACCCTTTCTTTTGGTACTGCTTCTGTTTTCATTTAGGACTTTGCTATCTGGTTGTTAAAACTCATGCATCCTATCCTAATAATCTTTCTAAAGATTATTAGAAAGCTTTCAGCCCTGGTTGGTGTGGCTCAGTTTGTTGAGCATGGTCCTGTCCTGTGCACCGAAAGGTTGCTGGTTTGATTCCCTGTCAGGGCACATACCCAGGTTTCAGGTTCCATGCCTGGTCTGGGTGTGTGCAGGAAGCAACAAAACCAATCAGTATTTCTCTCTCACACAGATATTTCTCTCTCTCCCTCTCCCTCTCCCTTCCTCCTTCTCTAAAATAAAAAAACTTATTAAATAAATAAGTAAATAAACACTACTTTCATTAATGAAGACATAATTGTAATATAATAGAAAGCCGTGTAATAAATTTCAGTGTGTAAATCATTTAGTGAATATTATAAATGGTGCCATTTAAAGTTTGATGAGCCTGACTGGGCATGGCTCAGTGGGTGAGCATCGACCTAGGATCCAGGGGACTGAGGTACGATTCCCGGTCGGGGCACATGCCCGGGTTGTGGGCTCGATCAGTAACTGTCTTATCACTGATGTTTCTATCTCTCTCTCCCTCTCCTTTCCTCTCTCTGAAATCAATAAAGATATATTTTAAAAAGTAAATTAAAAAAAAAGTTTGATGAAAAGTAGAATTTTTTTATTATTTGGATAATTTTTTTTTTAAAGAAATTTAAAGTAGCTCCATACCTCATATTAGTATCAAAATAAATTATATATGGAAATAGTCAAATATAAAAGTAAAACCAAAAAAAAATACAGTGACTATCTGCTTTAAGAGTTGAGTAAGCCTTTCTTGGCATAAAAGCATAAAATATTAAAGGGAAAAACTGATAGATTTAACTACACGTAAACTTAAAGCTATTATATGTCTGCCAGCTTAAAAGGGAAAGGCAAGTAACAAACCAGGAACTAGTGGCTAAAATATGACAAACTAGATTTTAATATCTTTAATATGTAAGATCTTAATAAATCAGTAAAAAGAGTGTTTCCTTAGAAGCAGAATTATTAAAATCATCCATATAATATCATAAAATACAAAAAATGTTTCCCCCAATGACGACCAAAACTTCAAATTAAATAAATAATGACGTTCTTTTAAGAGCTGTATCAAATACTTCAATAATGAAAACTAGAGGGAACATTATATGCATATCCAATAGGAATTAGTTAAGGAAATTATGTACATTCATTCAAATCAATGGAATAAATGCTGGTATTAAAAATCCTGTTGTAAAAGATGAATGGTTAGTGGGTAGGCCCATGATATAATGTTAATTTTAAAAAGGAAGATTAAAAGTAGCATATGCAATATAATACCATTTTATAGAAGATATGTGTATGTTTTAAATTTATGGATGAAAATATTTGAAACAGTGGTTCTCTTTGGGTGATATAATCTTTAACTTGTTTTTTTCCATATTTTTTCATATATTCTAAATTCTCTTCAGTTAACACATAGCACTTTTAACAACAGAAAAAAAGTTTCAATAAATATTTAAATAAAGTTAAAAGAGAACATAGGTGAATTAGATTACCTGTAAAATTTCATTCGTCATATGCTTGTTTCCCTCTTCAGTCTCTTTTCTCTGACTGTCCTTCCTATGAACACTCTTCTTTAGTCAAAATTATCAGTTTTTTGTACCCTGACTATTCCAGATATTGGTTATTACCTTTTTAGTATATGTGTCTTCTGTTCCTCTGTGTTTATCTTAACTCCTGTCTGCCTGAAGAGTGGCACACACCCTGCCTGCCTTCACCATGGCAGACTGATTGATCACATCTGTTTTCCACTGAATGAGGAAGTGTAACAGTCCTGATCAGCTTGGTGCTGCAGGTAGCCACTATTAACTGACTAGTGGGCAGAGGAAATGACACCCATATGCTTTCTCTGGATTCCAGCTCAGCTTCTTTCCTTATGAAATTTGCCTTCAGTCACCTTGCTCCATGGAGATCATTTTCTTTTTGTTCCTATACCCATTGTTATGTATGTAGTACTGTACATGTACATATTGGCATTTTTAGTATATGTATTTTATATTCTTAACCACACTTAAGTTGAGAGACATTTTGTTATATAACTTTTTGTGACAAGTGCATATAAAAACAACTTCTACCTTGCGAGTATTCAATATAAATATAAATTAATTTTAAAATAGTAAACATTAAAAAGATAAAAGAATATATCCCCTGAGCAATATCATTTATGCTTTATAACTTCAGATGCCATTGTTATACACCACTGACTCCCAAGTAGATAACTCCAACTCAGCTACTCAGTTGATTTTCAGTCTTGTATATATTCAACAGTTGTTTGATAATAGCTCTACTTGCTATGCACATTTTATACTCATGTCAGTCTCTTTAGTCAACCCCTTTTATTCTGTCCCCTCTGCCACTGCCGTCGAAAAAATCCTGTTTTTTCCCTTGTATTTTTTAAATAAACTTATAATTCATCTGCCTAATGCAGGTTTCACTTCTCACACTATCCGTCATGTTGCCATGAGTTTTAAATCAAGTTTACCCCCATAATTATTCTTTTATTTTCATGGTAAAGTTTAAACTTTCTTATATAATCAGTAGGCCATTCATTGTCCATTTAGTACCATCTCTGATGTTCATTTTCCAAATACTTTATTGACCCTCTCAAACTGTCTGTGGTGAATGACCTGTTGGTAAAATAAATTAAAAATGAAATAATGAAAAACGATCATGTATTGGATGGGAATAAATTCTTACTCTCAATTCCCATTCTTCTTTTTTTTTTTTTAATATATCTTTATTGATTTCAGAGAGAGGAAAGGAGAGGGAGAGAGAGAGACAGAAACATCAATGATGAGAGAGTCATTGATCGAGCCCGCAACCCGGGCATGTGCCCTGACCGGGAATTGAACCCCGATCTCCTGGATCCCAGGTCGACGCTCAACCGCTGAGCCACGCCTGGCAGGGCTCAATTTCCATTCTTATCACAGATTTAGAACAAGCAGTTTATGCCCCATATCAGTATGTAGATCATAGAGTAGCAGTCCTATCACTTCTCCAGGTATTTCATGTTCTCTCCCCATCTCCCTTCATTTACACTTACTTGTTTCTCTGATTAAAATGTTACAACTCCCCATTCCTCTTAGCTCCCTGCTAATTAATTCTTCATTTTAAACCAAAACATTTTATTTTAATTCTTTAAGTTTCATCTCCTTTGGGAACTTTTCTCTGACCTTCACAGGGATTTTGGTGTTCTTTTTCTTTTCCCATATTATATAAGAAGATTCAAGATTTTTAAATAATGAATTTAAGGAGTGTGTGTGTCTGTGTATGTATGAGGTCTTTATAAGTCTTTCTAAATAAAGTTTCTTCTTAGCAGATGCCTCTCAGCTACTTTTCCTCCAAAAAGTCTAGCGAATATGACAAAAGTAGCAGATTTCATATCATTTTTTTATTATAAGAAAATTCACTGATTCCTTCTAGGATGGCCCCAGAAGTTGCAGCAGTAGAAAAGAATGGTGGCTACAACCAACTCTGTGATATCTGGGCAGTAGGAATAACAGCAATTGAACTTGGAGAACTTCAACCACCTATGTTTGATCTTCATCCGATGAGGTGTTCTCACTATTTATAATTATACGGTTATTAATGGTCTTCTGGGAGAGTGAGATATTGATAACTTCGCTATCCCAAACTCATTTTCAAGTATGTTAAAATAGTAAAGGTATTGAAAGTGATTTGTAGATAATCTCAGCTAAAACCTGCTCTCTTGTATTGCTGTTCGTAAAACAATAGGGAGCTAATAGTCTATACTGTCTGAAGTCTTTTTTAAGTCATTACATTCATTTTTCTATCAGTTGAACTTGTTTCTTTTTTTTGTCTAAATAGAATTATATACAAATAATAGAATGCAGGTGAGATTTTTTTCATGCTGTTTTTTTGTTTTTTGTTGTTTTTTCACTTTTTCTCGGGATAAAGAGGTATGCTTAGTTTAATTATAATTTGCATTTTAGGGTAAATTGTCTCTCAGGAAAAAAAAATTGAGAGCCTTTGAAAGGGCTTTTAATATTTTGAAGGAAAAGATAAATTTGGGCTAAATTTAGATTTTTAAAGTAAATAGTTAAAAAAAAAAAATCAACAGAATGGGGAACTTGTTTTCCTAACATGGTAGATAGAAGCATATATATTACATAAGGAACTCATTCAAAGAGTTTATAGACAAAATATAGATTGTTTATGAACAAGTACCAGATACTGAAGAAACATGGAAAACTATTTGACCTCACAAGTAACTAAAGTTATACAAGTTAAGAGGTATTTACATTTAGGTGGAATGCCAAAAAGTGCAGACTTTTAGGAAAATAATTTAGACATTATTTGTTATGGGCCATCCAAATGTTACAGTGATTTCACTAGGAAAATTACACTTAGGAAATAATTCAAGAAAAAAAAAACCACTAAGAATTACCCATTTCAGGATAACAGGAGGAAAATCTAAATGTCCAATAGTTGGTGAATTGTTAAGCAAATTATTTAGCAGGTAAGGGCAGCTATTACATATGTATAAAACAAAGCAACATGGAAAATTGATTATTAGTAAAAAAAAGAAAAAGCAGAACATCCCACACTAAAGAGAAAGTAAATGCCAGGATGATCTCAGATTCCCTTTTGGAGAAGTTTTAACTCCTGTTGTATAAACCAGAGACCCTATGTTTCCTGGACGAGCCAAAAAAAAAAGCAGAACATAATATTACCCAATACAATGATGTAGTAATTGGTTATTAAGATAAAGACTAAAAAGAAAAACAGAAAATTTCAAATAATGTCTTAGGGTTGTAGGAATATAGACCTTTATTTCTTTTTCAATTTTCCTTTATATATGAACCATTAATTTTTAAAATGAGAAAATATTTTTGGTATCTAAAAAAGAGACAAACAGTTTGCTTAGAAACCTGAAAGGGGTTTTTTTAGGAGATAATGAAATAGAACATTTTAGAACTTCCTTCTTAAATCCTCCATTCTTCCACCCCGGTAGTCCATAAAAAATGGGTCAAAGGTAGACTTGTAGAGAAAGAAAGTCCTCTTGTAGGTTGACTTCTGTATCATTCATAATGAGAGAATGTGGAAAATTATTGTCCAGAAAGGGAAACAGGCTACAAAGTGAATATGATTTGCTTGTACACCCAAAATAATTGTAGAGGCAAATCTTCAGTTAACAATTGTAGAGGCTTAATCTTCATAAAACCTAGTGTGAGGTTTGTGCTACAGAATGATACACAATTTATAGACTTGTACCTGAGGTATAATACTAGTTATATATGTAACAGTATGGTAACAAAACCCTTCTCTAACATTTGATAGCTTTGCCATGTGAATAAGAGCTTGTTTGAAAGTTAAAGGTCCTTTCTCTAGCCAAGGGAAATTTTCCATAGGCTTTCCAAAATATTAAAAAAATGATTTACATATTTCATACCAGTTTTCATCAGTGTCTACATATGTAGTAATCTTGTATAAATTTATTACAGAATATTCATTCTGATTATTAGATGTAGTAATAAAAGTATTTTGGTACTGCTTTTTAACTGAAGTTTTTATTTCAGGGCCCTGTTCTTAATGTCAAAAAGTAATTTTCAGCCCCCAAAACTAAAAGACAAAACAAAATGGTAAGTTAAATAATATGTTATTTATAGAATTTTACAGTTGAAAGGGACACAAGTTTAGTTCTCTTATTCTATGGATGATGAAACTGAAGCCCAGAGGCATTAAACAACAGTTTACCTGAACTTATACATGTAATTTACTTGCAAAGCTATGACAAAGATCTAGGTTTAACTGGTCAGTGTTCCTTTGTAATGTACTACTCTCTTGAAAAACTCTGATCATAGTCTTATGTTCTGGCAATTTGGGCAAGAGAGTAGTGAGGAAAGAATTTCAAATAAATACATTAAAATTTTGAAGATTCATATTTTTACTCAATACTTTCATTAATTACATGTTGACTTTTATGAAAGATCATATGAAAAGTTTTCCCAGATACCATGGCACTTAAAATTAATCTTTAATCACTTCTCTACCATCCTTCCCTAATATTCAAAAAGGTTATTATTTTCATTCTAACCTCTTCTTTCTCGTACAAAGTAAAACAGTTTGAATATTCTTATAGTTCATAAGGACATTTTCAATTGGGTGATAAAAAATGAAAATTGTTTTTCGGGTAATGTCCTTCCGTACATTTAATTTTTTTAAAAATATGCAAATAAGTTTCCAAGTGCTTAAATTCAGTAGTTTTTCATCTAGATTACAGGGATCTCTTTAAGAGTCCATGGACCCCCAAAATTCTGTACGTATGTATACTCATTTTTCTGGCAAGACAGTTCATATCTTATTTCAGATTCTAAGAGTCCCAGTTCCCAAAATAGGTTCTAAACTACTGTTTTATTTTTTATTAGCCTGTCTGTGAATAGTATTACTTAGGAGCCAGGGCAATCAAGATGATGCCAGGAGTAGAAAGCATATCACACTGTGGAAATAAGAGTATATATTCTGCTAGCTGTATTCTTTTGTATTGATACAGGCTTCTTCCTATTCCTTATTACCCCAAGTTCCTAAGCAACTGAAACTGGAGGGCTTTATGGTAGGAGGGACTGAATATTTATTCAGAAATGAATGACGCCCAGCTGGGCGTGGTTCAGCGATTGAGTGTGGACGTAGGATCCAGAAATGAATGACTATTAGCTGTAGCCTCTGAATTCACAGTCAGATTCTAGAGCAGTCATTACCATTAAAGTACCTTTGCCAGTCTCAGGTACTATATAACTCCATGCTAACTCTGCCACAAGTCACCAAATGTAACACAGTGATGTGATTTCTCTGAAGAAAACTAATGTGTGTTTGCTGTCATTGGTAATGAATAAGGTTATTTTCTTTGGTTCTTGCCCAGTCCCTCCTCAGTGGAATTTTGGCTATGATGCAAATATCCCTCTTTGCTATTAGTTAATAATCCAGACATGATTCCTTTAATTAGTCTTTTTCTTTTCCCCACTTCATCAATGCAGGTGACAGGAAAACTCTTCTGGTTGCTAAAATCATTCCTTCCTTGCCCCCATTTCTAAGAAATTCAGTGACCTTCTACTTTTACATTAGCCACCCTGTCTCGGTGCCATTCAACTCTTTTGGTATAGCAAAACATTTGCGTACAATATAAATTAGGCAATAAGAAAAGGTCATTTTGATTCCTAAATTTAATTCCTGAAACATGAGATTATGAATCCTGTGTAAATGATACAGCTATGCATTTCTACTTTTTAGAGTACTTTTTAGAGCTCATATACTACTATTCTGTTAGCTAATTGAATTTTACTTAGGAGATGAAACTGACACACGTTTTCAAGGAATATACTGTGCTTTGGATTTAGTTTTTTGGCTTATATAGAACTAAGAGGCCTAAGGGGAAAATCATGTGTTTCAGACTTTCTAACTACTTGTAAGTTAACTTTATTTAGTAACACCAAAAAACTAATATTAGTGAAATATTTTTGTACATGTCTCTCTTTATTTGAAGGTCATCAACATTCCATAATTTTGTCAAAATAGCACTAACCAAAAACCCAAAAAAAAGACCAACTGCTGAAAGACTTCTGACTGTAAGTCATTGAAATTATAGGGTAATTTTCTGTAGTTGTGCCTTAATTAGGCATATCACTAGGACATAAGTATTTAGGTTTTTTAATATAAAAATGTTAGTGATCTCTTACAGCAGGGGTCAGCAAACTTTCTATAAAGAGCCAGATAGTAAGAATTTCAGGCTATGCGGGGCCGTATAGCCTCGGTTGCAACTACTCAGTTTTGCCCTTGTAACATAAAAACATCCATAGATAGTACACAGAAATGGGTGCGACTTTTAATACCCAATAAAACTTTATTTACAGAAAGAGGCAGTGCACCAGATTTTGCCCATGGGCTGTATGTAGTTTGCCAACCCCTGCCTTAGAGAAAACTGTTAAAAATGTTGCTGTCATCTAAAATTAATTGCTTTTCTTGGCTGCTTCTATAAATTTATAGTATGTTTTGTGTGTATATGTGTTTGTTAAATACTTTTATAGTACCAAAAAATCAATGATTAAGCAATATGAGAAAACTTTCAGTATCATCATTTCACTGTATGACTTTGTACATTAACATAATTTTATCAGTAATATTATGAGTAATATTCATGTTATAAACTTACCCCACAAAGAGTCTTTAGTTTTATAATATATAATTATGGATTCTCTGATTAATATTTTTGCTAATACATTCTCTAACTTATTTGTATTAGTAGGCTCCCATATGCTTGTCTCTAATATTTACTGAATGGAAAAGTACAAATAGCATTTCTGTAAGCCATAGATGTAAAGCACACTCATGAAATTATTTTGTTTTGTTTCACCTAGCACACTTTTGTAGGGCAGCCAGGTCTTTCTAGGGCCCTAGCAGTTGAACTTTTGGACAAAGTGAACAATCCAGACAACCATGCACATTACACTGAAGGAGACGACGATGACTTTGAGGTAAGGACTATTTGCAATCTAATATTTTAAAATAAATGTTTAATATGGCCTTAAAGTTTGTTTTCTAATTCACTTGTTTAAGTTAGTTAAAACAGGTTTAGCTACAAAGATTGATTAGCAATGTAAACTACACTTACCCTAAATATAATTGCCAGTTGATACTTTAAAATTGTGGCATAATATACATAACAATCATTTCTTAATCCTACTTCTTACCAGACTTATGCAGTTTCTTTATTGTATACATCATTAACAGAATACAAGTATTTTTTAAAATTAAGTTGAGGCCCTAGCCAGTTTTGCTCAGTGGTTAGAGCATCAGCCCAGGGACTGAAGGGTCCCGGGTTCAATTCTAGCCAAGGTCACGTACCTGGGTTGCAGGCTTGATCCCAAGCCCTGGTCAGGGCATGGGTGGAAGGTGGCGGCCAATTGATGTGTCCCTCTCACATCAATGTTTTTCTCTTTCCCTTCCACTCTCTCTGAAGAGCAATGGAAAAGATACCTCAGGTGAGGATTTAAAAAAAAAAATTAAGCTGAGGTTTTCATAGGAATTTTATCATTTCCAATACTTGTTCAGAACTATTATTTTTTACATAATTACATGCAAAGCTATTTATAACTATGCTGCTTTCTCTGAAAATTTATTGTTGCTGAAAATATTGTCAAATTATTTTGAATATACTGTATTTAACAGTATAACTTGTAAATCAGGAATGAGGGACTTCCTCCCCATTGGCGGGTATCTGTTTATGCCTATATATGACAACTATATTTTTTCACCAGTGTCTCTTCCTCTTCTTATGATTCTCTTTTTTTTTTTTTGGTTTCTTAGAATCTGTCTCCTCACTTCTCTTTATGTCTTTATTTATTTTTATATTTCTAACTTCATTTTTGGTAAGACTATAGAACTAAACTTTGTGTTATTTATTGAAGGATTTTCTACTTCATGTTCTTAAGTTTCAAATTATGTGAGTATCATGATAACTATTAACACTCATTGGGTAGTCATTGTTTGCCAAGTATTAGGTCAGATAATTTTCATGTGAACTCACCTAATACCTAGAACAGTCCTTTGCAATAGATATTACTATCCTACAAATGAGGAAATGAAAAAGAAAGGATGGAAGTAATTTGCCCAAGATCATGTGGCTAATAAGTAGTAGAACCAGGATTTGGATCCAGGCAACCTAATTCTAGAGCCTACTCTCTTAATTAATACACCATCATTTCTGTGTATTACTTAATAGAAATAGTCATTAAACAATCTTTGAAAACTAATCATTCAAAACACATCATTGCTTAGTATAGTCTTATCATAGGTACCCAATGAATATTTTGTTGCATATTAAATGAACTTTGGTTGAAAATATTAAATAAGTCAGCCATACATAAATTTTTTTCTGCTTAAAACATTTTCAGACTTGTAATAATAAAAATTTAATCCCTTAAATTTTATTTTTATTTTATTTTATTTTTAAACATATCTTTATTGATTTCAGAGAGAGGAAAGGAAGGGGGAGAGAGATAGAAACATCAATGATGAGAAAGTCATTGATGGGCTGCCTAGCCCGCAACCCGGGCATGTGCCCTGACCGGGAATCGAACCCTGATCTCCTGAATCCTAGGTCAATGCTCAACCGCTGAGCCACACCCAGCTGGGCAATCCCTTAAATTTTAAAAAATTAAAATTGTTTCACCTTAAATGTAGAATTCCTATTACTTGATTCTCTAATTAATCTTTGACTGGTTATATAAATAACAAAACTTTTATTCCCCCATACCATTTTACTTGGCTTCCCAAATCTTTAACTTCTACTCTCTCTATTTCTGTTTAGTGACATCACCATACTTTTCAGTCTTGAAATATAAAACCTTGTGCCAGGCAGTTGGGGGACATAATGGTGTATGAGATTTGACACTATCCCTGCCTTTAAAGAACTTACATGGTCTCAAAGGAAATTCAGAAATATAAATAAGTAATTTATAAGTGTGATACCTGTTATGGACTGGGAAATACAAGGTGCTGTTGATTCATGTTATAGGGACAAGAAAGGACTCACTCTAGAAGTGACATGTATGCTGAAAACCTGAAGGGTAAACTGAATTAGAGTAAGAGAGCAGGCAAAAGTGTTTTGAGCAAAGGAAATAATAGTATGTTTGAAGGCCTGGTGATATGAGAGAAGGCAGTGTATTTGATGAAGTAAAGATAAGTCAGTTTTGTTAGAGCAGAAAACAAGGAAGGAAATGGTGGGAGACGAAGTTAGACACTAGCCATTTCAAACCATGTTGAAAGTTTTGGGCTTTGGCCTAAGGGCAGTAGAAGCTGTTGAGGGTAAAGTAGTGACATACTTAGATATGCTTTTTAAGATCTTTATATCTTCAGAATGGTGATTCCATTCCAGAAAACCTGTTAAGAGGCTGTGGAAGGTATCCAGAATAGAGATAGTGGTGTTTTAAACTAGGATGATAGAGCAAAGATGGAGAACAGTGGACTAATTCAAGAATTATATGAGCAAGACGGTGATTGGATGAAGACATGAGAGGCGGCGTGTGTGAAAAGGGTTATTCCAAATTTTGACTTGAACAACTGGAGAGATTGAGCTAGGAACTCTAGAGTAAAATCAGATTTGGGAAGAAAGATGAGTTTAGTTTTATATATGGTCATTTTTGATGTTGCACAAGACTTCCAGATGGAGAAATCTCATAAAGAGTGAGAGCTATGTGGTTGTAGCATGTGGAGAAAAGTTCGGACTAGAGATATAAATTCGAAAGGCATTAGATATAGATGTAGTTACTACCTTAAGGGGTAGGTGAGATCACCCAAAGGAAGCATGTAGAATGAGAAGAGGGCCTAAGACAGCATCCTGAGATTTCTCCCAAAATTTAAGCAAGTAAGCTATGGGGAATGGCCAAGGATTGATAAAGAACATTAAAATCAGGAAGGAAAAAAAGGAAGGAAGGAAAGTTTCAATGAGAATACTGTCTAGAAATTGAGTTAAAGAAATCATTGGATATAAGTAGTAGTGCTTAATTACTTTAAAAGGACAATTTGCAAATAGTAGACATGAAACTAGATTGGAGTAGTTTAAAAGATAAGTATAGCAATTCACTTATGAAATTCAGGTGGGAAATGGGTAGGATAGAGCAATAGCTGGAGAAAAATGAGTTGGTGAGGGGTTTTTTGATTGTTTTATGTGGGACAAAAAGTTTGAATAGGATTAAGTGCTTCTGAAAGGATCCAGTAAATAGAGAAGAATGACAAGAAGCAAGATGAATGGGTAAAGACCCTGAGAAGGAAGGAGAGACTGGGATCTTGATTTTGATGAGGAACTTGATCTGAGATAAACACACTTTCCTTGCATTAAGAGAGGGTAGCTCAGAGGGTAGCTAGTAGTTTTCTAGTTGATATTTCTGTTTTCTCTGTGAAATAAGTGGCAAGGTTATCTTCTGAAAGTGGGAAGGAACATGGATGGGTTTGAAGAGTGTGAAGAAGGTGTGTCGAGGTGAATTTATGGGTTAAATTACTAGAAAAGTGTTTTTGGGAAAAGCTGAAGCCTCAGAGGAGATACATTTTCAATGTATTCTACTGTGTAATTTTCCTCCAGCAGTGATTGGTACCCCAGATGTAAACACAAAGGTAGCTAGTTTAATTCTCTCAGGGTTGTCATTTTAGCATGCCAGTGTACTGAAGGACAGTGAGGCAAAGGGAATTTAGTATATTGAAAAGAGATTGCTTGAAATAGTGCTTTATCAGATATAAACTGGGTAGGAAGAAAAGTGAAGATAGGAGAAATGCTGATAGAGAGTGAAAAAGTAACGGATCGATGGACTTAAGATTCTAATGTGAATGTTAAAGTTAAATGGGAATAAATTAGAGAGTGAGTGCAAAGGATGAGAAGTTTGAAGTAAAGTGTGAATTTGTATATCAGAACTGATGACAGGGTCCAGAGTGTGAGCTTACGAGTAGAGAGTGCCTTTAAGTATGTCTTTAGAGATGAGGGCAGAAAACTTAAATCCAGAACAATGGGCTTTTGACGTATGTTGTTATGATAGTGGGTCTTAAAGTAGAGAAAAAACATAGCCACTGTCTGAGTAATCAGTGAATGAGAGTCATCAGAAATTTGGTAGGGGTTGAGCTGAAGGCATAGTTTCCAAAGGGTCAGGAACTTTTACAAAAGGGTGGAAGTAGTATGCTTCTCGCTTGATTTACTACAACATTCTTTATTTAGTCTCTCTGCATCCAGTATTTTTCCCTGCCATTCCCCCTTACACACTTACAGATTACTCTTTTTTTTAAAAAAAAATGTTTTAATTTATTTTAGAGAGGAAAGGAGGGGGAGAGAGAAAGAGAAACATCGATGTGAGAGAGAAACATTGATCGGCTGCCTCCCACACTCATGTGCCCTGTCTGGGAATTGAACCAGGGACCTTTCGGTGCATAGGTTGACACTTAACCAACTGAGCCACACCAGCCAGGGATATCAGATTACTTTTAAAGATGACTCTGGTGATGCCACTCCCTCTGTAAAATCTCCCAAAAGTACCTTTGTCAGGAAAATAAAATTAAGAGCCCTAGCCTAATGATCCCGCTCATCCTCAGTCTCTTTCCAGTTTTGTCATCTCTTCACTTAATCTTCACTATAGCCAAATAATAACTAATTGCAATTCTTCTAACACTCCACAGTTTCCTTTACTCCTTGCCTCACTTTGTTCATATCCTTTCTGCTGTCCCACGTTATTGCGCATCCAGTGCCTACTTGTCCCTCAAGGCCCCAGGTTAGATTACAGCTCTGTCTTGAAAAAGTACTATACCCCTTCCTCTGGGCATTAATAGTAATCTTCTTAGTGAATGACACTTACCATTTTCTAATCTTATCTTCCTAGACTATAATCTCTTTGAAGATATTTGGCTTTCTTTGAATCTCTTAAATATTTTATACAGTATAGACATGGAATAAATGAATAAACTTTTTAAAAATTTTTATTTATTGAATTTTTTTAGAGTGAGAGAAGGTAGGGGGTGGAGAGAAACATTGATTTGTTGTTCCACTTAGTTATGCACTCATTGGGTGCTTCTCGTATGTGCCCTGACCTGGGGTGAACCTGCAGCCTTGACATATCAGGACGATGCTCTAACCAACTGTGCCACCTGACGAGGGCTAAGTGATTAAACTTTTAAAGTACCTTAGTGTTCACTGTATTTTTAAATCTTTGTCCTGTAATTTATTAGTAGGTAGTCATGTTTGTCAGTAAGTGAACATTTAATTGAAAAAGAGAAACTTTGACCTTTTAACTTTATCATTGAAATTTTTTTAAAAAGGTGAAGGGATTAAGAACTACAAATTGGTAGTCACAAAATAGTCCCAGGGATCTAAAGTACAGCATAGGGAATATAGTCAGTAATATTGTAATAACTGTGTATGGTGCCAGGTGGGTACTTGAAATATCAGGGAGAATACTTTGTAAAGTATACAGTTGTCTAACCACTATACTGTACACCTGAAACTAATACAAAATAATATTGAATGTAAACTAATTGAAAATTTAAAAAAATTTTAACTGCGTATGTTATGTTTATATCCACAGCCCCATGCAATCATTCGTCATACCATTAGATCTACAAACCGGAATGCCAGAGCTGAACGGACAGCTTCAGAAATAAATTGTATGTGTTTGGTATACATTTTCAATTGGTGGTTTTGGAGGGTTGAGCTGGTTGTTCTTGTGGTTTTTTGAAATAATAAAATCTTAAACTGAGGGTACATACTTTAACATATCAGAAGACCTCTAAAATAAAGGTTGCTTTTCTGGTTTATAATGGAATTCCCTTAGTTTACAATAAAACCGTTTTTTATTTTCTAATTACAAAGGTGATATATGTCCATTGCAGAAAATTTGCAAGAGGTAAAAACTAGAAAATCAACATTACTTACAGTCACATCATCCAGTGCCAACCCACAGATAATATTTTGCTGAATTTCTTTCATGCTTTAACACGTATGTTTTTAGATGGCTGACTTTATAATATTCATAAAATTTTACTTAGGTGTTTTCTACATGTCAGCCTAGCCTTTATAACCATTTTGTTTGATGGCTGCATCCTGTTCATTGAGTTGATATGTTATGGTTGAACAGTTCCTTGTTGTTGGACAGTTGGGTTGCTTTTATTTTTTTAGTCAGCTTAACATTAACACTAAAATGAGTCTTTTCTAGAATACATATTTTAAAAGGTTAATTGATTTTTATTCAGTAACTTAATCATTGACAAAAGGTTTGTATCAACAATATTTGTCATTTTAGCCATAGTAATTTAAAAGAATAGATTTGCAAAGAAGTTTTAAGTATGGGTATGTTGATTTAAATGCATGCTTGTTTCAAAAGACATTTCAAGTAGTTTACAGTAAAATATGATAGAAATAAATAATATAAACCTTAATAGAGGAAGATAATTTGTTAAATATCTAGGCTAATTGGAATTATTGTAGCTGAACATTTCAAGTCTGAGTTTTCTTCAACCCAGATATTTCTACCTCTCTGGATACAGCATTGGAAATGTAGGTCAATGGAGAGTAAGAAGAATCCTTGCCATATCAGTTGTTTCAATCATACCTATTTATAGTTAAACCAGTAATTCAAGATTTTATCTCTTTGTTAGTCCCAGATTGCTGATGTTCTTATGCTATCTCCTTATATAATCACAAGTGAAATCTCTGGGCTTCAAATACCAAACAGAAAAGTCCAAAGTTGATATACCATTATAAAGCGCTCTCTTTTGTGTAGCTGCATGGTATTCAATTAATGTAGTCTAATCTATCCGTCTTTTCTTGTATAACTTGGGTTTTGTGGTATGTTTAGCAAGGCCTTCTGATGTTAAGGTTATAAAAGAATTTTCCTGTTGTTCTTGTATTTTTATAGTTTCATTTTTTAATATTTAAATCTTTGATATAAGGTATTAATTTATTTGGTAGAAGGTATGAAATATGGATTCAACTTTGTTTTCTTTCCAAATGACTACCCATTTGTCTCATTGCTATTTATTTATGTATTTTAAAATATATCTTTATTGATTTCAGGGAGAGGAAGAGGGAGAGAGAGAGAGAGAGAGAGAGAGAGAAACGTCAATGATGAGTCATTGATTGGCTGTCTCCTGCACGCCCCCTACTGGGGATCGAGCCTGCAAGCCAGGCATGTGCCCTGACCAGGAATCGAATCTTGGTTTCCTGGGTCATAGGTCGACGCTCAACCTCTGAGCCACACTGACCAGACTCATTCCTATTTATTGAAAACTTAATAATTTCACTAATGGATTTGATATGCCACTTTTATTATGTACTAAATTACTACATATATTTTAAGACTTCCCAGAAATTCTATTCTGTTGCATTAATATGTCTAGTCATATGCCAGTAGCATACTTTTGATTATTATGTCTTTATAATACCTGTTAAAATCTGTTAGAACTAATCCTGCTCCTACTTTCTCCAACCTCCCCCCCACACACACATATCTTGTTGCTGTTCTGTTTTATTATTATATTTGGCTATGGTATTTTCCCCACATGAACTTAAGAATCACTTTTACTAGTTTTAAAAAATGTCAGTGTTTTTACTGAGGTCTCATAAATTTACATATTAACTTTGGGAGAGTTGACATCTTTCTGATATTTCATCTTCCTAACCAAAATAGGCCTTTTCAGAGATAAATTCAAGACTCAGTTCTTTCATGAGAGCCCAGAATACTAATATCTTCATGGAGTGAGCTCTGTGTGCTTCAAGTACTAGACAAAATGGTAGAATTGAAGGTCATTTTATTGGTGATTTATATTTAAACTTTCTCCAGTGTTATTCTGGAGTGTTTTATAGCTTTTTTTTGTTTAATAGATTTTATACACATAAAATAGATTTTATACACATAATATAAGAGTTAATTCTACTTTTAATTTTTAGGTTTTTAATTGAAATTCAGTTTTTTAAAATGAAATAAAAATGAAACTACCACCTAGATCAAGATATAGAACATTAACAGTCTCTGAAGTCTTCCTCACTTCTCCTTTACAATCAGCACCCTTCCATCTTCCTACATTCCCCTGCCCTCCCATTGCCCAGGCTAATCACTATTCTGATCTGTCACCATAGATTGGTTTTTACCTAATCTTGATCTTGTAGCTAAATGGGATCATACTGCATGCACCTGGTTTCTTTTGCTCAGCATTATGTCTGTGAGTCATTCATGTCATGTAGCAATAGTTCACTGTTTTCACTGTAATGTAATATTTCATGGTATGATTATACCAAAATGTATCCATTCTAGTTTATGGGTATTAGATTTGTTTCTAGTTTTTGGCTATTGTGACTACTATAAGCGTTCTTACTATGTATTTTTATTTTTATTTTATTTTTTAAATTTATCTTTATTGTTGAAAGTATTACAGATGCCTTTTTTCCCACCATTGATTCCCTTCTACCCGGCATCTGCCCCGCCCCCCCTTTGCTGTGTGTTTTTAGTGACTATAAATAATAATTATGGCCCTGGCCTTGCAATAAGGAAGAACACAAGCCAGAGGAACCAGAGGACATCTCATCAAACAAAGGAAAATAAGTATATAGGGAGTTTGGAAAAGTGGAGTTCAAGTGAAATTTAAGTGACAACTTAAAGCAAAGTAGGGATGTGTATGAAAGGATGAATGATAAGTCTATACTACAGAAATAGACCCAGAAGTCTGTTTCCTTGGAAACTTGGAATGTTGTATTCAGAAACCCTTTTATTTGAAGCTCCGTATCTAGGTTGGATATTGAGGCTGCTTCTCTCTGTCAGTGAGTTAGGTCTTCCAGGCAAGAACAGAATGGTTCATTCTAATGAATATGATTTCATGCAGCAAAGTGTCTGACAGTCTGTGATTTCAGAAAATGATATTCTCAGTAAGAAAGCAGCAGTAATTCAGAGAGGGGATTATCATGTAATACTTTACATATGCAGTGTATCCTTGGGAAAAACATTGTTTCTTATTGACTTTGCATTTGGATTTGTGCCTGTCTTCCCAGCCTTATGAACGGCAAGACAGATTACTTCCTCAGTCTGATCTATTTATGGGTGTATTAGCTAAATTACCTATTTTTTTTTTGAAATAAATTGTTTTGTCACCTGAAAAGTCATATAGTGGCTGAGTCCAGTTACCGAGGAAGCCAGCTGATTACAAGGAATTAGCACCAAAGGAAGATGAGAAGTATCCACAAAGATTGCAAGGCCAACTGTCCGTTTAATTGTATGGTTTTAGCTGACTCACAAGTAATTTTAAGCAAGGTATTGAACTTACACAGAGGACTATGGCTGCAAAGAGCAATATTAAGAATAGGTAGAAGGGGTCAGTAGGGGAAAAGGGGACATCTGTAATACTTTCAACAATAAAGATAAATTTTTTAAAAAATTTGATTATCAGAGAAAGCAGAAGAAAGAAAAAAAATAGGGACAGGTATCATTTTTAGGAGATATACAAGTATCTGTCTACAATCCAAAATCTTCAACTGGCAAAGAAGAAAAAAATACAGGGGAAAAAGAGGCAAGAAAATAAAGAACTGTAGTATGCACATTAAAGTATGACAGTGTCTTCAGTCATCTTGTTCCATGCACCTTGGGCAAATAAATCCATTTCATGTCATCATCAGCTTGATCCAGTAGACTTGTGTGGAAAAACTCTTTGCTGTCATCTGCTTCTGAAGATCCTTTGTCATCTCAAGTTTGAGGTGTCCTACTGAGAGAACTTACATTGATTTAAGATTGGCCTGTGGCCCTATTATTGAGAGACCAGAATACAAGGATTATAACCCTGTTTTACCATTGTGTTAGTTGTTAACAGTACCTGGCAAGATTCTGTTTATTGAGGTTGGAGGGCAGTTTTCCATAAGGCAATCTGAGTTTTAATCATGAAAAGGTTGTTTCAGAGGAAATGCTTCTTGGACATGTGTGATTATAAAATTGTGTGTACTATACAGGTCTCAGCTATATTAGTCTGTAATGTAGAAGCTGGGGTTGGGGCAGTATTCTCAGATATATAGGATGCTCAGTTTTTGGTTCATTGGGAAAGTTTAATGAGCTCCTGAGGAAATTGACTTAAGTGTCATTCAAGCAGAAACAAAAACACACACACTTTAGACTGAGAAAGTCTAATAATTTCTAAAAGCTTACCCAACTTGAGTTTGAAAATTCCATTTGTCCCTTTTATCTTACCTGAACACAAAGGCAGTGGAGATTTTGAGTAAGATGTATTGCCTTACAAAGCTCCTTAGTAACAGTTCTAGGGAAATGTTTTCATTGCTAGAGAAGTAAGAGTATCCTAGGTAGGAAACAAAAAACTACAGCAACTTTTCTTTGCCATTGTTAAAGTTGAGGCTTTTAGACAAAATTTGATTCATCCTAGAAATAAAGATATGATAACCAAAAATAAAGCCTTTGTTAACAGAAAAACTGTTTATGAAAAATTATCTTAACTATGATATACCCATACATCCCTCTACATTCAGTATTGTCTTAAACTGCATATTGTTACCCAATCCATGACATTCAGATTTAAAAAAAAAAAGACAAAATAGAAAATATTCAGATGCATCACTTGGATCCTTAATAGATACTGCTCTGTGAAACTTTTGTGAGATTTTTGTTTGTTTTGTTAGCAATTTGTTGTGCCTCGGTGCAATTTTTGTTTGTTTTATTTGAGTTCATTGAGCTTAGATCTATGAATTGATTTTTCCCCCCATTAAATTTGAAAAACTTTAGGTAGCTATTTCTTCAAATTTTCTATCCCAGGTTCTCTCTTTTGGAACTCCAGTTAAATGTTAGACTGTTTGATGTTTCTCAGGTCACTGAGGCCCTAATCTCTCTGTCCCCCATATACTCACATGTGTTCTTTTGTTCTCTGTACTTGTTTTGTTTCTATTGCCCTGACTACCAAGTTCTTTAATTTTTTTTTTCTTATGTGGTGTTCAGTTTCCTCTTTAAGCCCATTGGTGAATTTTATTTCAGGTGCAGTATTTTTCAGATCCAGATTTTCATTGATATACATAGGAATATGTATATATATAATACACATATATCGAGTTTCTATTTTCTTCTGAGAATTTTCATCTGCTCACTTACTGTGCATGTCTTTAAATTCTTGAACATATAATGGCTGTTTTAAAGTCCTTGTGTACTTTCAACATGTGTTTATATTTTTCACTTGGTTGTGGTTTCTGTTCTCTTCTATGGTTGTTTTTTATTGTATCTTGGCTACTGTGATACAACACGAGTGTCTGGATTTCGTGCTCTTTACTTTAAAGAGTATTTCGAGAGCTAATTCATTGGTAGGCCCACTTGATCTTTTCAAGGCTTGTGCCAGGTTTTACTAGAGTATTTAGCAAGGTCTTTGCGTAGAAACTCAGAGGTCTTTCCTAGTACTGTTTGATCACCAGGCTCTGCATTTAGCTCACCACATTCTGTTAGCTCTTTTCTGACATACCTTGCATAATCTTGCTTTGCTTGTGGGCAATTTAGCATTCAGCTAAAGCTTTAAGAGACCTCTTCGCATATTTCTAGAGTTCCTTCTTTATGCAGCTTTGTCGTTTCTGGTACTCTGTCCTTCAAATTCCTACTGCCTAAGCAGCTCCAAACTCCAATCTTTGTTTCCTGCACTTAGTGAAACAGTTGCTCTCTCTTTGGGTTCCACTGTCTTGTGCCCTATTTTGGAAAGTGCCTTCAGGCAGAAAGCCAGGGTGAATGTGGAACTTACCACCATGTAGTCCCCTTCTCTCAAACCTTCTGGTGTCAATATCTATTGCCTCAAAATAGTTGCTTCATATATTTTGTATACACACACACACACACATAAATTTGTGTTATATGTATGTAGTTGTTTATAGCAGAAGGGTAAGTCCAATTCCTGTTCCATCATTATAGCTAGAGTCTACATTTATCTTTTGGAGACAAATGAGGAAATACAATAGAAAACCTCCCGCCTTTGTATTTTCTTAGGCCAAAGATGCATCCAAAGGTACTGCTGAAACTGGAACAATGGGTGCGGGTTGCCTGTCGCTACTTTAGCCAATTAAGCAGAGACAAGGTTGAATCAAATATGAGCATTTATTCCACTTTTGCCAGCAAATGGGAGACTAGTGGGATTTGTCCACATAAAATCTGCTCTGCCCTTCCTTTACATGGCTGGTTATATAGGGCTGCATGCAAGGGAGAAAGGT